GTAGGGAAGTGACCAGGAAACTGAAAGTTTAAAGGTAAAATTGTCATTCTGCAAAATGGCTAAATGGAGAATGTTTCCATTTTGGCTATATTGACCTAAAATTTTAAATTTTCTTGCTAATTCTTGACAATATCCTGTTAAGTGATGAACTATGAGTATACTGCATTACAAAATAAAAGAGTTATTGTTTGTTTTTTTCAATGAAGAAGCAGAAAAACAATGTTGCTGCCGACCACTAAATGTAGAACAAACACTATAAACAGCAATATATATGGAGATTTGTATTGGTACAAACTGCAAGTAATCAGATTTTGGTTTAGATGATTGCTTTAATTGCCAAATTCTGAGCCCAAAAATAGCCGAATCATCAACCAAGCGATAAGAGCAATAGCGAAGCATGTATTTTTTTATTGCTAATTCTGAATTCTGCCCTTGACGCCAAAAAAAAAAGAAAGAAATTACTACTGAACAGTCACTGAATTGTGCTCAAGTTCAAGTGAGAAGTGACTAATAGAGAGAAAAAAAGAGAAGGTGTAAAAATAATCTATATATATTTACATATTATATATTTACTAAATATCTAATATATAAATAAAGATTTGGTACCGCTCCAACTCTCTTTCTTCTCTATTCATTTTTTTTTCTCATCTCTATGGATCAGTGAATTAAATGACTGGAACATGTGCTTAATAGTGTACTGTAAAAATATATACATAATATTTAAATTATGTAAATATTTTAGTAGACGTATTGGCCCATTTTTGCACCGTTTCATTAGTCTGATTTGTTTTCTTAAATCTTTTTTTCTTTATCAAATTCAGCTGAACCAAACTTACAGATGGTCAAAATTTGGCTGTATCAATTTTTTTTTTTCAGGTTAAATTGTTCATCTAAAAAAATCAATGCAATGTTTCACTTCGTTGCTTTGCTATTACTGTAAAAAATGATCTTTTTTATTTTTAATGGGGGAAACATTAAAGGAAAACTCAAAGTACCAAAACTACTACAGCCCCTTGCATCGGCTTTGTTGCCAGTAGTGCCATGCTACCCTAATTGTAAGTAATTAAACAGTTTGGTTTAACTTGGTTTGACTTCTTGTGAAGTGTACCTACTTTTGGGAGGAGTGTGTGTTCAAACAAGGTGCTAAAGTCAAAATATAAATGGTAGCAGCGCTAAACACTTGTGAAAATTTTTTCTCTTCTCCAAACCCAAAAAGTTCAGAAGATGTAGAGTGTGAGGGGATGGCACTACCCCAATGCTCTACAGGACTGGGAAAGCTCTACAGGAGTGAAACACATTTTGGCAATTGTAGGGCTCTTTTATCTATATATTTTTTATTTTACTATATGCTACATGTTATTATTGTGCAAATAAATACATTTTAAATATGTTTTAAGAGTCCTCAGGAGCCTGTTGAGGCTACATCGGGGTAGTGCCATCCCCTCACAAATTGGCACCAAGCAATCATACCTCAGAGCCGGGATTACAAGGCTCTGAAAAAGGTGAGTATTTTACCTATTTCACCTTTTATACTTCAAACAGACTGCACATTGATAGCCCTCTTTTTATGTTTTCTCTTTGAGACACTCCATACTGCAGATTGAGGGTGTGATGCTGCCTTAAAAGCATACAAGCTCTAATTTGGAGCCAGTATTTATACACAGGCTCCCTTAAATGTGAGTGTTCCTATGTCACCACCGTTTTATCTCATTGTTGTTTACGTACCAACTGCACTATATTATATTTTTATTCTCTTTTACATATATTATCTATCATGGTCGTTATTAAGCCACGCGGGGTAGGCTTACCTGGTCCACAATTTTGCGCTCCACTTATAGGTGTAGGTTTTTATCTTACACCACTTTACAACTTCTAGTTTGACTTCTTACCTAAGGTTTACTAGCTGCCACTACTCACCTCCACTTCACTGAGCTAAGCAAGGCAGTGTAGGGCATAACTCATTGGTTACAAGTGATCAGTTAATGCTCTAAGCCAATGAGCTAGCCTTGCACAGCAGAGTTTAACTCGGGAGTGCTAGCAGAAGTATTCTTCGTGTTTCATTATTTATATTTAAGCTATAATTTTAGTAGTACAAGTGAGATTTTCCAGGGTTATAGATTTTTTTTTTTTACTGGCATAGGGGTTTACAACAAAATATAACATATAAATATGTAAGACCTGTCTAGGGGCCAACTGTTGCATCTTAAAACATTTTAATGTGTTTATAGTGACTACAGAAAATGTTGCCTAATCCAGACAACGTCTTCATCTGTTGTGTACTTAAAACAAAATCCACTTTATTAATCCATCATTAAATTATCCAACACAAACACTATAATAAACACTCCAACCATGTAGACCCCACTAGTCTACACGTTTCATGATATGAGAACACGAAGAAGACTTCATAAAAAATTCTTGGGTTCCTATTGGCTATTCTAACCTGTCTGCTATGCATGCATAATGGAATGGAATTGTTTATTTAATATCATTAGCAAGAATATTTTATTTTTCATAGAGATAGATATAAAATAAAGCAGTTATTATCTTCATCTGTGAATAATTACCTATAGTATTTTCTCTAGAAAGAGCCCTATTTAATATTTAATTAATGGCTTTTTTTACTTTCATGAGCACATCTCTACTCCTATTTAACAGCATGTATAGTTATATATTTTTTTGTCTGTAACAAAACCTATGATAATATGAAAAAAAGACAGAAAGAGAGAAAGAAAGAAAGAAAGAAAGAAGAAACAAAAGAAAGAAAGAAGGATAGAAAGAAAGATGGAAAGAAAGAACAAAAGAAAGAAAGAAAGAAAGAATGAAAGAAAGAAAGAAAGAAAGAAAGAAAGAAAAAGAAGGAAAGAAATAACTGGTGTCTATAGAATTTGCTTTTTAAACTTAATATTCAAGGGTGCCTAGGTAAAAGCTTGGAACATATTTTATCCTTGATCTCTTTTGCATATTCAACACGGCATTTTGAGAAAACTGTGTAAACATAATATCTCAGAAATGGTGTGTCTAAGACAGACTTCTTCCACAGTCTGTACTGTGATATGCAGTAGATGCACAATAGTACAGTTTGAATTTGCATCAATCAGTGGGGAGTTTTATCATGTGCTATATATAAGGCATAATTTGCTGGTGAGGTTGCATTTGGAAAAAGGAATAACAAGTGCAAGCGTCCATTTTTTAAAATAGTCTTGCCAAGGATCATCAGTATATAGTGTTTCAAGGTTAAATATACACTTATCAACCACAACATTAAAACCACTGACAAGTGAAGTGAATAACATTAATTATATTGTTACAATGGTATCTGTCAAGGGATATATTAGGCAGCAAGTGAACAGTCAGTCCTTGAATTTCATGTGTTGGAAGCAGGAGAAATGGGCAAGTGACAAGATCAGAGTGACTTTGACAAGGGCTGAATAGTGATGGCTAGACAGGTCAGAGCATCTCCAAAATGTAAATTCTTTTTTTTTTTAATTCTTTATTTTTCAGTGCAAAACATAGTCGTTACAACATTTGTTAAAAGGAGGCCAGGTCGTAGCACATTCTTGCACTATTTTATTTTTCTAACATGTTTGTGTAGGCCTTGATCGCTATCGTGTCATCCCTCTATTCTGAGGTGGTTGAGTGTGGTATGTGCTAGCTGATCTATGGGTGAGAGTCGGTGTGCTGTGGTTGCTCGTTGAGGGTCCTATGACTTGTTCATTCAGCCTGTGGGCTGGTAGTGTAGCGTGGTATGTAGCCTCTTCAGTACAAGGCATATAGGCTGTGTTGTTTGGGTCCCGGGGAGGTGTTGGGTGTGTGAGATATGCCTTGTTACGTTTGTAGTGGCTCCTGACCATGGGAGCTGCGGGGGGGTGGTGGATGCGTGAGTTGTTTGGCGGTTGCCTCGTGTGTGAGTGTGGAGGGATGCTGTTGCTCCCCGTTATGGGGGGTAGAGCATTGGAGAAACTGGGAGAACATTGGGGTATATATAATGTCCTGAGCAGATAGTCCCGTGGTGAGCGTATAGACCGACTGGTGTGGCTGGCTGGACTTTAGTCGGTCTGTTGTCTTAGGTTGGGTCCTCGCTGGTGCTTGTTCCTGGATCTGCCGTCCTCTCTTTCCCCCTTCTTGGGATGAAGGTTGTTGCATGCGTCGGGTCCCAGCTTGACGTTGAGGTGGAGGCACTCTGTCGTGCAGTGTCCGGCAGCTGTGCCAGTCCCAGGGCCGTCAGGAATGGTGCAGTGTCTTCCATAGAGGTGAGTGTGTGTACGCCATCGTTCCTGGATACCATCAGGGATCCGTTTGCTCCCCATCTATAGCTTATTTTAGCTGATTGAAGCTGGCTGGTTACCGGTTGGAACATTTTTCGCCACAGGAGGGTGGTTTTACTGAGATCTTGGTAAAACGTCAGAGACGCTTCCTCGAATTGCAAGGGAGTTTTGCCCTTAAGTGCTGACATTATGAGTATTTTATCGTGTGTTGAGGAGCACCTTAATATCACATCTCTTGGTGCCGTTGTCGTCATCCCCTTGGGTCCTGGTAGGCGGAAGATTTCTTCCAAATTAATTTTTTTGGCTACCGTGGGAGACAGGAGGGTGGTTAGCAACCGTCTGGCATAATGGGGGAGCTCGTCCGCCGCCACTGCGGTTGGGACGCCCCTTATCTTCACATTAGTACGGCGGTGGCGATCCTCCATTGCTGTGATGTGTGAGGTGACAGATCTTTGGTGAGCCCATAGTTGTTGGACCGAGGTCTGGAGGTCTTGTACCTCTGTCTGGACGTCTGCTATGTCCCTCTCCGAGGCCTGTACTCGGTCTGTGATGGCCTTCATGTTAGTTTTAATAGGAGCTAATTCAGCTGCAAGTATTTTATGAAAGTCCATCAATAGTACTTTCAGGTCTTGTCTGGTCGTTGGTGTGGTGTCAGTGGGAGCATCTGATGGCTGCAGGTAAGTGTCCGCCGGCCTCTCTTCCCTTGCTTGCTCATTTGGGTTTGAATGGGCTTCAGGCCTTGTACCAGTGACCTGCCGTGCAGGCTCTGCGGGTGTGGGTTGGGGTTGCATGGGCCTCTGGAACATCGTTCCGATGTCTCTGTGCTCCACAGCCGCCGTCTTTTGCGAGCGGCGACCCATCGCTGGCATGTGGGGTAAGGCCTCTTGTGGTGCTTGGAGAGGGCTCCCGTCGTTCGCCTGTTGCCAGAGGAGTGCTTCCAGGCTTGGCAGGGACAATGTGGGGTAGGCCCCGGTTTTCCGTTTTCGTCCGGGCTGGGCTTTTGGTTGAAAAAAAGGCATCTATCGCCTTGGGTGGTATTGGGGGACGTGACTGTCGGGTTTTGGGGTCCGTCTGGGCTTTAATTTTGGGGTTTTTGGGGGATTTTGCGCTGTAATTTGGAGGAGCTTGCATGCGTGGCGTCTGTTCAGGCTGGTGGTTGAGCTCCGCCCCCCTCCCAAAATGTAAATTCTTGTGAGGTGTTTTCAGTATGCAGTGATTAGTACCTACCAAACATGTTGCAATGATGGACAACTGGTGAACCGTTGTCAGGGGCATAGGCATCCAAGGCTCATTGATACATGTGGAAACAAATAGCTATCAGGTATGTTCCAATCACACAGAGGAGCTACTGAAACTCTGAAAAGCAAAATGCTGGCATGCTAGAAAGGTGGCAGAACTCACAGTGACTTGCAGTTTACTGCACAGCCGCAGACTGGTCAGAGTGCCCATGATGACCCTTTTCAACATCAAAAGAGCTTCAGTGGGGATGTGAGCATCAGAACTGGACCATGGAGCAATGGAAGAAGGTTGGCTGGTATGATGAATCACATTTTCTTTTAGACTGGTGAATGTCTGGGTGCATGTGTCTTGTTTTCCTGGGGAAGAGATGGCATATGGATGCATCAGGGAAGAAGGCAGGTCAGCGGAGGCAGTTTTATGCTATAGGCAATGTTCTCCTGCATGTGGATGTTATTCTGATACATATCACCTACCAAGAGATTGTCAAAGACCATGTTTACCCTTTCAATTCAATGGTGTTCCCTGATGGGAGTGGCTTCTTTCAGCAGGACACACTGCAAAAATAGTTCAGGAATTGTTTAAGGAACATGACAAAGAGTTTGAGGTGTTGCCTTGGCCTCCAATTTCCCTAGATCTAAATACAGCTGAGCATCTGTGGAATGTGCTGGAACAACAAATAGGATCCATGGAGGCCCCACCTCACAACTTGCAGAACTTGAAAGATCTGCTGCTCATGTCTTGATGCTGGATACCACAGGACAGGTTCAGAGGTGTTGTGGAGTCCATGCCTCAATGTAGCAGAGCTGTAGCATGAGGGGGACTTACATGATATTAGGTAGGTAATTGGGATGCTGTGGCTGATCAGCATACATATTCTTAATCAATGGTTATAAGCACATATTCTTAATCAATGCATTAGGAGAACTTATGATATATTTGTGAACTACTTATTCATGGAGCACTTGGGTAGCTTGATAGACATGTTAAAGATTACATTTAGACATGTGATTCAAATAGAAAAGTTTTCCCTTGTAGACATGTACATGATAGGAAATGAATATATATTAGATTATATTCTCTGTTTGCTTGATAATGCTGGGAAGATAGTCCAAACATTTGATTGCATCACCTCTTTTGATTGGTTAATGCATCTGTAACAAGGAAGATGCAATACAGAGATCAATATTATAGGTTTAAGAGGCATACCGTTCTGAAAGGAAAATACAACATCAAATGCAAAGACGTTTTGTTTAATATTATTTGTTTGTTGTTGAATATTTAATCACTAAATTCCATTTTTGTTTTTACATTTCCGACTACAAGTGTTTCTATATTGAAAACTTCTGGGAATATTTGATAACAATGCATACATTTTCTTCTTTTTGTTCAAAGCTCCAAACATAACTCAAATTTGTTTAATGAACCTGTTAAGAAGGGTTTGTTAATAAGTAGCAAATAAATGTTATCTTAATATTTATCTCTCATTTTATGTCCCCAACGGTCTGCACAGTTCTCACATTTTGTACTATGTCCAAAATCTGCAGTATTAATATTCATGCAGTGCACGTAGCGCCCTGTATGCTGTAGCATTGTGCGTGTGTGTCTGCGAGCCCCAGAGAAACACTAATAGTCCAAGAACTGTGCATAATGTGACTTGCTGATAAACAGCTAATTTGGGAGTCACTATGATCAGCCCACAGTCAGATCCTATTTATTTCGAACATTGAAAACATGCACTCCACTGCACTGAGAATGAAGCCTGGCAGGCATTTTAGAATCTTTCAAAGTGCAAATGTAATCTTCAAAAGGCAATAATAAGAGTTTGGGTTCAATTATTAAGCTGTTACTCTATAGTGCCTCTCAAAGACTACTGGAGTAACCTCACAAACAAATAATAGTGAGAGACCTGAAAGTTTTGTTCATTTTTGTAATTTATAAATAAACTAATTAATAAAAAGAATTATGATGCATTCATCTGTATGAGGAATTTTGTATTATATTTTTTTAATAATTCATTGATTAGCTTTTACTAAAATTTATACTACTATTATTTATTTTATTTGTATTGTAAAACAGACATAACATAACCCCTTAAGAACACATGATGAACATTTTCCCTCATGCTGTCCTCTTATTTTTGAAGCTGTGTCTTTAAGGGGATAAGTCTAACCTTTATTTTTTTTTTTTTTTTACAATACATATACTGGGATTGACAACAATATACTTCTCTACTTAGTTACATAGTTGCATAATAATCTAGGTTGATGGACACTCAAGAACATTGTGTTTATACTTTAACTTAAAATAGCATTTTCAGGGGTTGTTTTGAATAGCTGTTTCTGAATGTATCAAATCTATTCTAAAAAAAAAAAAATACTCCACAAAAATCCATTGCCTAGCAAGACGTACCCACAAAACTAAAAATAAGAAATTAAATGGCTAATTTTTACATTTAGTTTTCTCCATTAATCCTGTCAACATTAAAACACTTAAATATGCACCAAAGTATACGCCTACCGTGTTTCTCCGAAAATAAGACCGGGTCTTATATTAATTTTAGTCACAAAAAACACACTAGGGCTTATTTTCAGGGTAGTGCTTAGAGCCAGTCTGTCAGCCAGTGTCCGCGCTGTGTAACCCCCCCAGAGACCCTCACCTCCCCCTCCCTGTAATACTCTCCCCCTCCCTCCCTGTAATATTATCCCCCTCCTCCCTGTAATATTCTCCCCCTCCTGTTTTCCCCTCCTCCTCTGATATCTCCCCCCTCCTCCCTGTGATATCTCCCTCCCTCCCTCCCTCTCTGTAATATTCTCCCCCCCCTCCCTCCCTCCCTGTGTACTCTCCCCCCCCCCTCCTGTAATATTCTCCTCCCTCCCGTTCTAATCCCCTCCCTCCCTCCCTCCCTCCCTCCCTACCTGTAATACTCTCCCCCCTCCCTCTCCTCCCTGTAATACTCCCTCTCCCTCCCTACCTCCCTCCCTCCCTGTAATATTCTCCTCCCTCCTGTAATATTCTCCCCCACCTCCCTGTAATACTCTCCCCTCCTGTAATATTCTTTTCCCTCCTGTAATATTCTCCCTCCCTCCCTCCTGTGTAAATATTCCTCCCCCCCTCCCTCCCTCCCTGTAATACTTCCCCCTTCCTCACTCCACTTCCCTCTCTCCCTCTCTCCCTGTAATGCTCCCCTCCTCCCTGGCTCTGGTTCCCTCCCTGTATGATCTCTCTCCCTGTAATACTCCCTCCCCCTTCCCTGCAATACTCCCCCCCCCTCCAATCTTCTCCTCACCTGCTCTTCCCTGTAGCGTGGCCGAGCTCCTCTCTGGTCCGCGACCCGGCTGGACTGACAGGAAGTGCACACCCGGGGTGTGCAGTTCCTGTCAGTCCGGCCGGGTCGCGGACCGGAGAGGAGCTCGGCCACGCTACAGGGAAGGGGAGGTGAGGCAGTGCGGCAGCCGTCTGAGCGCTCTCTATAGAGTGCTCAGTCGGCTGTGGCATTTAAAGGGCCAGCAGCCGCCGGCCCTGCCTAGGTCTTATTTTCGGGGTAGGGCTTATATTGCAGCCCACCCCGATAATCCAGCTAGGGCTTATTTTCGGGGTAGTTCTTATTTTCGGGAAAACACGGTAGCACAGACTAAATATAGTTTCCACTTAATTCTCTTAAAAATTCACTGTTCCACTGAACTAACTATAACATAGCAAGAATTGTTTTTAGAGTCATTGGACACATATACATTTAATGTGCAAACCTCTCTCACACCATCACGTAGGATGTCAGCCTACATCTTGGTAATTGTCAACAATATTGTGTAGGAAACAAATAAGTATATATTGTGTGATAAAATGAATACATGCATAATGGCAAAATCGCAATTTAGCTATTATGCAATGAAGTGCTAAAATAGAAAAGCAAGATTTTTTTTCTCAAGTTGTGCCATGTCAGCCTAGATTAAAAGCCAGACAGTGAGTAAATACATCTGTGTCAAAGAAAGATAAGAACACAGAAAAGTATGTGTTAATTAATAAGTATTGTTCAGCAAACACACATACATATTGCCATACAAAATAATAATATAGTGTGATATAGTCTTAGTTAGCAACATATTTATATATAGAAACCTATATATACCTACATATAAATATGTAATTTCCTATACATACATAGACAACCTAAAAAATTTTAAATAAAATAACGCTTTGCAAGGACACATTGGTTTCAACCACCAAAATTCAAATTGAGAAAAACATTGACTAAAGCATCTTTATATTAAAACATTCCTAAATTGTTTTAAAGAAAAAGTTAACCTTAAATGATAATAGCTGGTAATATTCCTGTGTAAGCCAACAGCTCCATCTGCTGTTTGAAACATATAGAAATATATATATCAAAATGACGTCAACAGCCATTAACATACGACTTGTCCCAAAAATCCCATTAGACCAGGTCAGAAGGTTAACAGATAAGGAATTACAAATAACCCCATGACATAGGGATAGTACAGTAGTGAGTAGTGACTAGTGGCTTTTACAATAGACAAACAATCCACACGTGTGTAAATCTAGATTGTGTTCTTTAAGTTCCTGAACATCTGTCTTTAAATTATAACAATCTATATTCTGAAAACTCATATGGTTCCTTATAATTTAACAAATAGTTACATTTTATTTGCTAACTGTCTCAATCAATTGTATATGAAGTAAAATATTCTATATGCTAATCAGAGTTTGAAATTGCTTTACTGTGATTGTGATATTGAACTATGCCATATCTTGTTAAATACTATTAAAAATTGTTCACTAATTACCATGTATATGTACACTTATTGACAAAAATAAATATAATTTTGATAAAAAGCTGGGATATTAATGTATGAAATATTAATTTTGAACAATGT